CAAAAGAAATAAAATACCTTAATTGTAAACCTCACATGTTTATCTTAATATAGTGATGTAATTATTTTGTAATGCTCATATAGGTAATGATGTAAGAATGAACTATAAAGATTGTAAGAGTAGAAATAAAAATTTTGGGAGAGGTATTATAGGGTGTATTAGAAGTTAGAAAATATTCCGAAGTTAAAGAGTATTTTAGAAATAATTTGGGTAAGAAAGGATTTGGCACTACCTTAGTATTTGAACCATAAATTTCTACCCTAATGTCCATTTAATCTAAAATTTTTACAATAGACACTAGACTTCCAAGGCTACAAAAGTGTATTTCACAAAATTTCCTAAATTGACCTCTAATCAGACCAAAACTTCCTTTGAAGTTTCAGGTAAAAACTGGAGTTCGTTCAAACGCGAATGGATCCATTTGAACGATAGTTAGTCCTAGTACTTTGGTGTCGAACAGAAACTCTGATCGAAAGCAAAAGTAGTTGGAGGAAACAACGTTCGAAAGCACAATATTAAGTTTGAATGTCTTGTAGATAGTTCGAACATTAAGCCTCTAATTCGAACGTACTATTGTGATTTTGAGTATCAGGTCTACACCAATTAGACTACTTTCTCATATTATAAATACCTAAGGACATCTTCCCTAGCCCTATGTCATCATTTTTTAACTCTAGAGAGTAAGAGAGAAGAAGAGAAACACGAGATTGAAGGGGAATTCTTACGTTGGAATGGATCAAACACGTTTAGGTTTACACACAAACTACGGAATCAAGGTGTGAGATTATTCTTGAGTTCTTTCATTGAGACTTAGGATATTATATATGTATATTTTTAATCTTCTTGAAAGTTATATGATAAATACGTATGAATTCTTGGTTTCTTTATCATTGAAACATGGTCTTGAACAAAATATAAGTTGGCATTCAAGAAATATTGTTCTTGAATTTTCAAAATCCTATGGCCTGTTTGGTTTACGTCTCTAAAAATAGTATCCGAAAATAGTTTTTGAAAAGAATTTTAGAAAAGTGTTTCTGAGATGAAAACTTATTTGGTTAAATGATTTCAAAAATAATTTTACAAAATAGAAAAGAGTAAAACTTATTTGGATGGAGGGTCTCATATAAAATTATTTTAATATATTAAACTTGATAAAATAAAATTAAAAAAAAAGAAAAGAAAAATTAGTCATTGATAGCTGCGATGTCGAAGCTTAGCTGGAGTAATCTCAGATCTGAAAACTCAACCCATATCTGAAAACCCACTTGCCAGAGAAGAAAAACCAATATCCATCAATCTAATAAGCTGAACCCAGATGCCAAAAAAGACAAACCAAAATCTAAAACCCAGATATGAAAATCAAGATCTAAAACCCAGATCTGAAACCCAAATCTAAAAACTAAGATCTGAAACCCATATCTAAAAAGACAAAGAAGTCATCGGAGAAGACGACGAAGACGATCTCGCCGGAGCGTCGCCACAGTGGAGAGGTCGCCTGGTTTCGCCAAAGTGGAGAGGTCGCCTGAGAGAGAGAGAGAGACAGAGTCTGGGAGGGAAAGACCAGCAAATAAAAAAAAAAACTTTTTATACCATGCCATATTTTGCTACTAAGGTTGTTTGAAGGGAAGACCATATTAAAAAGTTTAGGGTTGTTTCCCTTGTTTTCTAATTTTGCCTTGAAAACTCAGAGAACATCATTTTGATGTTCTCTAATTTTTGTTCTCAATTCCTACTTTTTTTGAAATTTTTTTTTGGAAATTGTTGTCCAAACAGCTTCTCAATCATTTTAGTATTTTTTAGAACAGAAAACTGTTTTGGAGACACAAACCAAATAACCCCCTAGTTTTTCCTAAACACATATTTTATTAAGAAAGACCTATGGATTCTTGAATTCTAAAATTCTTATTATTGATTAAATTAAGTTTTCAATCAACTACTTGTTCTTGCTCCAAGACATTATGATTTTTGGCAAAACCCAAGAATTTTGGTATCAAAATTATGAAGGTTTTCTTGATATGATGTCTTGCAAATTTTAATTTTTTTTTTATTACTGTAATATATTGAAAATTGTGAAATTGTGATACTTGAGTTCTTATGAAAATTGTGATTGAATAAGATTGCAGTTGTTGAGAAAATTGTAGTTTCATCTCTTGTATAGTTTGGGTGTGACGAATTTGAATTGCCTTCGAGAGCAGTCGTAGAATGCTAGAGGTTAGTCCATCCTAGTAGGAGTGAGATGGTTGCCTAACACTTATAGTGGTTTGTTGTTTGTGATTACAACCACTATTGTTCACGTACGTTCAAGGCAAAGGGATGGTATATCTTTCCGATGAAAGATTCCTCAATGTCACGGGAGACGGTATACGTCATTCCTAAAGTTGTTTATGATGTGCCTTGCGGGGAATAATTGAGATTGTGTGATTGTAGTGAGTGAACGAGATAAAATCGTTGTATAAATTCTTGAGAAATAATCAACATACATGAGAATATGGGATGATGCTACTGTTTATTAAATGCTTTAATTTCTTGCAAGTTTATTCCTATCATTGATTTGTTGTATTCCATACACGTGAGATCATTACAACTGTCGTGATTTTACTCTCAAAATTTTATATATGCTATTTTCCAAAAAAGTTGTTTTAAAACATTGTTGGGATTTGAGAGATATTTCATATGGGCTTTTACTCACTCTCTATAACACATTTATAGATTTTGGCAGAGAGGAAGATGTCGAATTAGATGAGCAAGTCAACCTTGAGACTAGAGATGCTTTGTTTTAGTTTAGATTATTTTATTTGAGCGATTTCTATGAAATAATGTTTTTAGCTAGTTTTTATTATTCCGCTACTAGATACTGTTTGATTTTAATTTGTAAGTTGGAGAGATTACCATGTTTTATTGCCTTTAATCTTTATTCTTTGTTAGATAGATGAATGGTTTATTATTTAATTGTTATTGTTAGTTGCTCTCATGGTTAGATGATTTTTAGATAGTAATGTCTTCCAAGGTAGATTTGGGGGCGTTACAAGTTTGACATTAGAGCTTAGGCTTTTAGATCTTACATGGAAGCTATAGGTTATATATTACCACTAGAGAGTTAGGATTAGGAAGAATAAAATTATAGACGTGAATCTGATTATAGGCTTTAAGCTTTAGACTTTAGCATGAGTTAGGATTTTTCGTATGTTAAGAAAACTAAACTATAACTCGCTATGAGGACGAGGACGTAGAAATTTCGTGAACTCGCCACCACCACCTCCTCCGAATGCTATGAATGGTATTTACCAATGACTACGGGAGTTAACTACTCTAGTACAAAACCAGAATGAGACAACACAACCACTGACAATGGGACAAGAAAATGTTAATGAAAACTGTAGGATAATGGTGTTGCAAGAATTCTTACGACAGCGCCCACCCACTTTCCAAGGAAGCTCTAATCCAATGAAAGCGAATAAGTGAATTAGAAGAGTGAGGAAAATGTGTGATAGCAAAAAAAACTTAATACTATATTAATTATTATGTTTATCATATAAGAAAAGTAAATTAGTCATGACATGTGATGGAATATTTTAGAAAGAATGAAAAGAAAATGACATTCATGCTATGCGATCAATCTGTTATACCTGGATCTGTTAAAGAATCACATAAATCCTTAATAATTTCAATCTTTTAAAAAATTATACCTTTGTATCATTTATCATTTCTTAATTATTAAAAGCAAATTTTTCTTTGTTTTTAGTTGTTTTATATTCTCCTTGTGATGTCATGAGATGAAAAAATTGAGGTGAAAATCGATGAAGAAATAATATTAAGTAAGAAAGACAATTGTATTTTCATTTTTTAGAGATATGGTTTGCTCATACTCTCCTTGTTTTTGTCTTAAAGTCATTACTCCATAATTAATATAACATTTTAGTTTCCATTCTAATGCTTAGGGAATTTGGTAAGTTTTGATACTGCATATTTAGCATCTTTAATTAGTCAACATTGAGGATCAGCGGTTACCCTAATTATCACCACAACCACCTATTAGAATGGAAATAGTGACCAAAAAAATTAGTCGGCGTTGGAAAATAATGTAACAGTCCACATCAAAAATACCCAAAGTACACACTGAAAGCTTTACATCACAGCGTTGGGTGGCTACCTTTGATGTGGACCCTTACATCATTATCGAATGTCCACTTATTAAAGAGGCTAAATATTAATATCAACTTATCAAATTTCGTAGTGAACTAAAAAGGAAACTTTAAGAAAATTAATTTTGTGTTTATGATAGAAGGAATGTAAATTAGTCATGTAACGTGATGGAATCTTTTAGAGAGAATGAAAAGAAAATATACATTGGCCCGCCAAGATTTTCACATCGACAAGGAATAATAACAAAAATAAAAGAAGAGGAAGAAAACTATTGTTTGTAGTATCTTACTAATAGGAGCGTGTATGAATAGCATGCTTGGGCTAAATTGTTGGCATCCTCTGGTTCTTTGACATAGAAGCTTACGAGTGTAATTATTACGTCGGAGAGGAAATAACAAACCTGATCTTAAAAAAATTCAAACACGCAGAAATTCCTGTAGTAATAGGCAATGGTGATACAAGAGGAAGATGACTACTAAATTTTACATTGTAGTTGTCAATGTTACATATCACAAGGACTCGTACAAAGCTTTTCTATCAAACAATTGGATATTTGTACTGGCTTCACTTTGATGAACAAAAGGGCCTATACATTATTCGAATTGGCAAAGAAAACCATCCCTTTTCCTGAAGTGGTAAGTTTACACATCAAAGGGACTTGTACAAAGCTCTATCACAAGGTACGTCATAATTCTTGCAAGAAAAGAGAAGACAGATCATTACAGAAGGACAGCTAAGATGCTCCTTTCATACACAGCAGCTGAAGAATGGTTTGCCATTTTCATCACTGGCCAATCTATGTCCTTGACTGGCCCATATCTTAACAATCTGAGAGCCAACATAACGAATAATTTTGCTTAACCTTTAAGCTTGTTGGAGCCAAACTGTCCCTTGTTTACGTTCTCATCATTCCATGAAGGGTCAACTAGAGGAAGTTGATATTCATCGGGTTTCAAGGCCAAAGCAAAATCTGGCAATGTCGGTGCAGTCTCCATAATTCTATAGCATAGTTGAAAAGTAAGTGATTTTCAGCAAGAGGGCTACTCCTGCTTGTTTATTGAATTATGCACGAAAGCATGAACAATATGATGCATACCAAATGTAGCAATGACAGAAAAACCAACAGCACATGTATTTTTGGTCTGTTTTGTTTTGCCCATCCCTTTTGCTTGTACAGTGTACAGGTCCCCACTGTATCTGTACATATCTAACCCATCTATCACGAAATGAATATCTAGCCTCAAAATACCTTGAAGATAATTTTTTGGGATGTTAAAACCTCAACAAAAGATGTCGAATAAACGTCGGTGACTCTAAAAACCACTCTAAATTCTATTCTACAGATGCAGAGTGTACAAAACCAATTAATGTATGCAAATCAACCTCTAATATTGCTCAGCTAGATATTAGTGGTGACTGAATCATCATTTTCACCTCCATCTCATTAACCCATGAAAAATATCGTTGCAATAAAATCAAATGAGCCTCAAAGTAAGACTTACTTTTCATAAGAATATAGATCCCTGTTGATTCGCACCTTGCTAGAAGTATCTTTCGGAATTTTCTCAGAAAGATACTTCATGGTTCCCCAAAGAGGCGGATTTCTGCATCAAAAATGAAATTAGACAGGCCATACTATGACACAAGGTCTGATGGTCTAATGTTCAATATTCCGATAATCCCCCAAGAAAATTACAACATTTATAATAGAGAAATTAACAAAATGGATCCTAAACTTCAATTCAACCCTTAGCTGAATTTTATCTCAAACCCTCCTACTTCTACCTTGAGTTAATCTTGACCTTCTACCAAATCCGTACTGTAACGGACTGAGAAACCTCTCATGCGATTGATCAAGAGGAGTACTTTAGACAAGTAATAAAATCTCAAACACCAAACTCCACCCTTGTCTGACCTACATGCTTGAGCTGTATGCCCAACATTTTTCTTCTTTCTTTCATTTTCTGATTTCACTCATCAAACTCCAACTCTAGACTCCATCACCCTTGACAAGAAGTCGCCTCCCTACCCCTAATACACACATGCCTATCACCACCAATCAAAAGTCATAGGAGCACAAAAGTACTAGGATTGTCTTGCACACAAGTAACTTTATTGACTCAACCAAAAAACTGAGAACCCACAGGCCAAAAAATTCAAGTTCCATATGGTTGAGTCTGATAGAGCATCCAACTAAAAATTAGTTGGTAATGAGTGAAGTAGCCTTTCAAGTATATAAACTAACCATTGGTGCTCCTAGTCATTTGATTTGGAATACAAGCTCTCTTTACATTCTTCCTCATGTAAGACCTGACTCGCTTATAGGGCTAACAAACAAATAAACATGCATACTGGGACATTCAAATCAGTAAAGACTTGGCCCACTGATCACCTAAGGCCCAACTATGATGCCATTGAGCATCTAACTTAAAATCAATTGTTAACGAGGGGAGTAACCGTTCAAGTATATAAACTAACCTTAGGTGGTCTTAATCATTTCAGTAATGTTTCGAAAGTACTTCAAAAACAAGATGGAAACAAAAAATAAATAAAAATTTTTTATGAAATATTGGTCGAAACAACCAAAACATAAGTCGAAACACACCGAAACACCTCAAAACAATCAATGATTTTGATATTCAATCAATGATTCGTTTTAATTTCCATGAAAACAGAAACGTTTTGAACGTTTTGAGACAAAATTTAATTCCTTTTCTAAAAGTACTACCATATGCACCTCATTTACAACAATATTTTGTACTAGTTGGAGGTAACACTTAAATTGGGGAGCACGTGTCTCTATGTGTGCTTCCACATCATTTCCACAAGGAGAAAGCTATTCCCCAGTTCCCACCACTAGGGATCCATGGCATCCTATGCAAATTTGAACATGCGAATATGGAATGACGCTGGGCTTTAGAAAATTGTCGTGCTTGTGCGCAGATAATAAAAGCAAAAGGCAGAAGTTCCCTTTTGATGAACAAGGAATGCCTTTTTTGACTCTTAGCATGGGATTGAATGAAATAAACATGAAACTATGTTTCTTTGGCCTAGGTTATCGTCTAATAGTGTGTCCAAGGAGAGAGAAAACTCTATGTCAAGGGGGATGTTGATGGGGATAGCTTCTAATAAGTGGTGACCGGGGTAAGGGTGAGTTTAGTTAGTGAATCAGAAGAAGAGATAGTGATGTTTTACTTGGTTCAAAGTCGTGTTATTGGTCATTGAATTGAGAGACACTGAAACCCATCAGTCACAAAAAGCCATCAAGCGGTATAATTGAAATGCAATGTTGAAGAAGTTTTACATATTGAGATAGATTTAGGTTATTTTGTGGCATCACAGAATAGTATTGGTTGATTTGATGACAATAACTTGGGTCAAAACTGAATCGGAGACATATCTGACGACTCGATCATACGAGTCACATGATTTACATCAAATACAAAAGTACATCGAATCGAGTCATATCAGTCGATAATCTAAACCATGACACTTCTTTTCCAAAGGAGAAAAAAAAATTACAGCACAATAATTTTTTGGACACATCCTCATCCTCCTTTTTCAGATATCATAACAAGATTGTGCATGATACAATGGCTTTGGAGAAGGCAAATTCCTGATTTTAGAATAATTGAGTGAAATATAGTAAGTCGATCGTAATTGTTACAAATAATAAAATTTTAATGAAATATATTAGGAGGTTGTATAATCTATACTACTTTAAAATATCATAATACTTGAAAAATATTTTTTTCCAATTTTTCCCTTCAAAAATATAATTATATCATGCTTATCCTTCATAAAATATCTTTCAAACCCTAATTTCACTTATTCCCTAATTCTACTTATTCCTTAATCCTCGTTGCCATTCTCCCAACATCTCTTCTTCCTTCCAACTATTTCTCTGTCTCTCTCTCTTGAACGATTCCCACCCGTCTCTTTGCCTCTCCGTTTGCTACGTCTCTCAACTTGTTCTTCTTGCTTCTAAGGAACTCTTCAAGTCCTTCTTTTATCAACCAGTAATGAAAGTTGAAGAATTTCAGGTCCTCATAAACCTAATTGTGTTAATTAGGGCATTACACCTGCCGTTATATACTTGCCTTAAATTCTACCACCAGCCGCTAGAACAAACGTCACCCATTCATCTCCCTCTTTATCGGCTGATTTTCTAAGCATCATTTCTCATCTTTCGGCTGTTCAGATTCCAAACATTAATGGTAGCAGCAATGGCTACTTCAACTAGAAATGAGTCTCTCACAAATGCCGATCCAACGGTGTTGTTTTCCACCCGTTTTTGCATCTTCCTTTTGTTCCCATGCTCTCTCAGACACAGGCATATTATTGTCGAACCTGTGGAGCTTTGTTTCTTCTTCAACAGGTACTCTGCTTCTCTTTTCTTATAGTATTTCTTTGTTTTTCTATTTGTTTGTGGTTGATGATTGATTTACTCAATTTGTTGTATTTGTTGTTGGGAATCTATTCCACCATTTTTTTTTTTTTTTTTTTATCTTGTGAAGATATAAATTACAACAGTAGTCACATTTGATTATGATTTAAAGCAAATCTAAAGTCCACTCATTCTCTAAAAGTGTCTGCTCAATCTAAGAATCTCAAACAACGATGTAAAGATCAAAGATCAAAGCAAAAACAAAATAGCACAACCACAACCTCAATTAAAAGTATCATTTTTGTCTCCACCTATTAATTAGCTAATTCATGTGTCATAATTCTGATTTTGACACATTCTTGTATAATTATTCTAAGTATATCCTATTGAAGCAACAAGGTGCTATAGATTATTGAACATGTTCAATAATATTGATTCATAGAATGGACATTTCTTTGTTTTGTTTTTGTCAAGGTTGATTCTTAATGCTTTGTTCAATGTTTTCGTACCTATTAAACTTTTGAACATGGATAGCATAAACACATACTATATGAAACACCTAGATTTTCTTTGTTTTAGTTATGAAAATTTTCATTTGGAACTAGATTTTTACACTAGAATTTTAAAATTTTCTATCATGGATTGAATTGTTTTGCTATATTGCTTGAAATTTAAGTTTGCTTGCTTTATGATAGGTTGAAGTTTTACCAGATTGTGTCAATTAAATGTTGTTCTATTCAATTTGATTTATACATTTGGAATTTTTTGATTATGTATGACATTAGGATTATAGTATTTTAGTGGATAGGACCATGTGATGGGTTAAACTGTTCATATATGGAAGTTCGGTTTGATAGACTTGTGATAATTTGATTTTTTTAATTTATATCTTTTAAATTTGTTCTATTTATATTGAATATTTGTGGACCTTACAACTTGTATGTTAATGACTTAATGATGAAGTGCTGAGTTTGAGTCTAAGTAAACAAATTGGTTATTGAATTTGGAAATTTTTTAATGATATCTTTACTGTTGGGAGTTTTCATTTGAAGTTTACCTTTTGCTCCGCAAGGTGTTCTTATTCATAATTTTTAATATTGTGCTGTAAACTTATGGTATTGGAATTTTCTAGAGCCATTTCATGGATCTATCGGTCTCTAACACAAAAATGCAGCCTTCTGTGAGTTTATATGGGGAAAGGCCCCTCAAAGTTTTAGTCACTCAAAATTTTCTTCCCCTCAATCCAATTTTCAAATCAATAAAGAGTCAGATAGCCTCTCTTTTTTTACTATTAGTTTCTGTCAGATCCTTAGTTTGAGCAACTCCTAATTTTGGACCTAAACACCACTCCATATGTTTAGATCTAGCCTTTTGTATTTATGAGGGGTCCAAAGCATTTCAGATTCTTATAGTTTACATCGAAGTAACGAGCAAGTTGGCATATGCATTTAGAAGCTTATATATATAGTGTTCCATTGGTTAGAACAACTTCAGTCTAGCCTCTACGCTTATTCTTCTTATTTCATTTTCTACACCTTTGTTTTCAAAAACTAAGATATATCTCAAAATTATCAGTATCTATTAGTTCTTGCTTTACTTTGATGCTGAATTTGTAACTTAGAAGATTTCGATACCAGGGCTTAATCCAATTAGTCCATGGGGCCAATTTTACCATATCACCCCACCCTGCTGTTGTTTTGAGATGAGAATCTTATTGTGAATATATTGCTTTATTATAAATTAGTCATGTGCGTAAGATTGTTTTGCTTACAATAGTAGGTCAACCCTTTTAAGATCGTTTCTTTATTTTTATTGTTTTTTGGGTGATAGCTTCTTTCCACTGATTCAAGACGCAATAAAATGAATAGTAAATTTTTTAGTGTTTAAACTAGAAATATGTTAACACTTTTCATATCTAATTAGTAATTATAATATACACTATTTTGAGTGGTAGAGTCCAAACCATGTTTCACCGGTCCAACCGAGTCTATGGGTTCAATGTGCCCCTTCCAAGAGTTAGGACTTTTTGTAGGCCATTACATACTATGCACATGTATTATTTGAGAAAGATTTGAGGTTTATCCAGTATACAATAGCTTTTGGAGATTTTGTTTTGTTTTTTTTTTTCATGTTGAGTCACTCTTGAAAGAGTGATCTCAAATAACCAAGTGTTATAAGTAGGCCACTCTTGATTTTTCAAAAAAACATTGTAATTGTAGTGTTTGTTACTTGGAACAAAAGGGAAATTAAAGGTTAGATAGAAAATCATTACTTAAGCAAGGAGAAATTAAAGGCTTACAGGAAGGCATTAAAATGACTTTTATACAGGATATACTTGATTGTATAGAGACGTCACTCCAATTTTTTCAACACATTTAAGTTAGAGTTAAGATTTTGTCTTTTAGAAACTGCATTCTTATTATTGGTGAGGGAACAAGTCAGCAAAGCTTTGAGTAAGGAATTGTCCGTATTTTGCTGGTGCACTTTCCATGATTAGTAATAAATCATTAAAAAGATGATATGCTTGCAAACTTTCCAAATGCAACTCATAGGTTGATCGTAAATTGTCCACGTGCACCGCACATGTGCATTAACTAGTGTCTATTAAAAGGCCCAAAAAAATTCTTGAAGAAGCATACAGGATTATCGTATTATAACTATGGTAAATTAGTAATTGACTGAAAAAATTTTGAAGATCCATCCAGTATTATCATATTGGATAATTTTGTGAGGAATCATTCAATCACGCTTCCCTTTTCTGCTGCAAGTACACCAAAACTCTTGAAGAAACCACGCAAGCCTATATTTTCTACATATTAACAAGAAAGACATGTTTCCTGACCAGTAAGTACACAAATAGTAACTTTATACAAATTTAAAAATTTGTTTAACCTGTCAAAACTGTAGAAATCATTATGAATGGAGAAATAATCATAATGGAATTGAGATGGTTGTCTATGTTCCTATACAAAGTGGTCAAAGAAGTGGTCAAGGTAGGTAGCTTTTAATTATAGACACCCTGTAGTATTACGAGATCCATAAAATATAGAATCCAATTAGTGTTATAAAGCCAAGACAGTTCAGTAAAACCAAAGAAGGTAGTGCACAAAACAGCAAAGAAAGTAATGGTTGAGGTTAAGTGGTTCTCTGCTGTCCCAGCCCACTGAACCATGATGTAAACCCAAGAATGACATGTGATTCAAGTTATTTTTGGAACCTTTATTGAAAACTTATCCAGTGGTGGCCCCTCTACCAGTAACCTAGACAACTTGTTAATGACATAGATCCAAAAATGATGACCGTAGTCAATTTTGATAGACATTTTATGGTGAATGCTGATCTATGGGTGACCTTTCTAGTGCTCACTAAGTGAAGTGAGAAAGTGACCATTTAGACCAATGCTGTGTGTCCCAATAGAACATGATCCATAGGAAGAGTAATACTAATCTGGTTCCTAATGTGTTACTGGAGGACAAAAGTTGCCAAAATTCTCACAATCAAAGTAAGCCTCCAGATCTTCACTGTTCAACCTATCTCTCTCTCAGAAATTGTGTCTAATACAGTATACCATATGGTTCTGCAGCCTGCTAACTCCAATGGAGAGCATGTCCACTAGTAAAACAGAACTTTACGAAGTATTATGCAATTTATTACATAATCTTTGGTCCAATGGTACTTTTTGCCTTATGAAAACTTTACCTTCTTGAGGTTAAGGATTCAAATCCCCCTCCCCTCCCCTCCCCTCCCCCAAAAAATTAAAAAAAAAAAAATAGGCTGTACTGCAGCAACATTCTGCAGTAGAGAATGTGAAAAGGAAGCTATCCTAAAAATTGAACAAAGAAACCTTAAATCATCAAATAGAAGTTGTTAATTCGCACTTTGCTACACAGAAAAACCACAAAAAAACAAAAAAATAAAAAAAAAGCCATCTAACAATGCAGCAAAGAGACAATCATGGGCTTCAGAATATTACCGTGACAGAGGAGGAGCCGTGTTGAAAGCTTCGCATGCCTTCTTACTTTCTTTGAGATACTGATCTGCTGCTTGCAAAGCAGCTACAGCCATCCCATGCGATTTTTCTGTGTTTCCCTCATCAAGGATCAAACCATGATAGTAATATGCTGCAGCCTGCAGAAAATGTTCTTCATTACAAAAACTGGTACTAATGACCTTGTATATTACAAGGCCCAAGAAATAGAGGGAAAAATGATCAGCTAAACTAATTCTATACTATTGATAGTCAGATTTATGTGCAAGAACTTTTCTGTGTAAAACATCCATTCCATTGTTCCATACTGGTGGTATCACAAAAACCTTAAGTAACAGAAGGTCCACCAGAATAAAATACAGTCAACTTAATGTGCAACTATACATACCACCACCATATTCAATACTCAATTACACCTTAGGAAACAAAGACGAGAGAAATACATGTAAGTAGCTCTTTGTAATTGTGCATACTAGCACCCAGATCACCATTACCAAGCCAGTACTGCTTATATTTCAATATTTTTCGTTCTTTGTTTATCATTTAGATTTCTTCTCATGAAGGAGCTCTCATCAATATAACTGATCACTGATGATTTGTAAGCAAATGCAAACAAAATTAACTTGCAGTTATGTCAGTGATGGTCTTGCAAGTTGGAACATCAAGTTTGCACCAACAACAATAGTCGAAGCAGTAACAAATTAACATACAGAATGTCAGCCAAAGGTATTACCATTTTTACCAGAGAAACTTTTAACCCAAATCCCCCAATTAAATGGCGGTACAAATTTTCTAACCTAACCGTTCCGCAATAACTGGACCAGAATCTTCCTTGTTTGAGCTGCTTCCATCCATGCAGACCAGATGATCTCACTTGTCCTGGAATGCACAAGTAAATAGAGATCTTCGTGGCAAGGTGGCGAGCGCTGTATGATAGCTCACATGAAATCTTGTATGCCTTTTGCTAACATTGAGTTTGAAGCCTGGTCCTTCTCCTCTCTTAAGTGCCATGTCAGCACTAACCAACTGTGCTAAAATGGCTTTGATGGAAGTTTTCAAAATAATAACAATGGACAAATCCAAATGCATGTCGTTGACCAGTGAATCGTAATGTCAATGTGGTATGTGGTGCGGGTACGGGATACAGTATTCTCTCCGGTACGCAGTGCGGTGGGGATAGGCTTAGCTGGTATGCTATTTGGGGTCGTAGTTCGCTTTGAATTCTTATCCGGATCATTTCTACTATTATAAAAATTTAGGTACACTGACATACACAATCAATTAGGGGTGCAACTTGGGCAAGCCAGCTTGAACCCAGCCCAAAAAAATCAGTGTTTGGGTTGAGTTTTTTAAAACTTAAGTTGGGCTTGAGCAAAAAAATCCTCGTCCCAAATTGAATTCAAGCTAGGCTCGGTTCACGGGCTCAACCATAGCCCACACCAAATTACTTAAAATCGAATTCAATCCAAATTCAACCTAAGTTTTTATTTAAGTATAAAAAGTAATGTGTGTTATTTAAGCATTTAAAATGTATATAAAAAATATAATATATATATATAGGTATATAATGGACTACATAATAAAATAATGTGTTACTCACACTCATCAAGAACCTTTTATAGCACTAGAGGGAATGCAAACTCTCTTGTTTAACCAATGTGGGATGTTGAATAAAGAATAAAAGAAGATATCCAAGTTAAAATCGCATATCGATTGCAAACAAAAAAAGTCTCTCCCTCCTCTTGTATATAAAGAAGGCAAACTCCATGTGGCTTGTGTTTTTAATGGGCTTGGTTTTCATTGGGCCTATGTGAGTCTAATAAAAGAGGTGAAGGTACCCAAATTTAACCCAAAAATTAAACCGAATTCAATAACTTAGGCTCAACCTAAATTCAACCCAAGCCCCAGTAGGCAATCCTCGAGTTGAGTAGCCCGTGTTAGAAGCCGGGTTAGGGTTGGAGTTTTTGTACCTCGGGCTTGGGTTGACTCCCTAACCCCCCCTCCCAAAAAGCCCGCTCGAGTTACACCCCTACAATCAATTGTCTATGATAGTTTTCACTATCAGTTTAATTATTCATGCATACACACATAATTAATTAATATTTATTAAGAGTTTCTAGGCAAATCCGAACTCTTAACAACATATATGAAGTTAATAATCATTAATAAAAAAAGTATGAAAAGAGAAGAATTGGTAATATGGGACACTATTATTTGGAGAAAAAAATAAAAAAGAATTTATATGGCTATTGCGTGCAACCTTATAGATATGCCTAATTAACCCTAAAGGTTGTTTTGACTTTTTTACCCCAAAGAGGTTTTCATATCACATAACATATAGGATTGTTTTAGAATTTTCACCCAAACATACCATCTGATAACCATTATGTCATCTAAGGCTACCAATTAAGATAGGGAGAGAGAGAGAGAAGTATCAGACGAAGTCTTCTTACAACAGAAACCGATGAGGAGAGAGAGATTCTTAGACGGTATACTCCTTACAGAGACAATCGATGAAGAGAGAGAGAAAGAGACAACTCTCGATCGATGAAGGGAGAGTGGAGATCCTTATTCGAAGTACCGATTCAAAGGCTATGCCCAATCCATCTAGTATGCAACTCAATTGTCACTATCTTGAATTTTTTTTTTCTCCTCCCTTTTGTAACCTTCTTTGTGCAATTTTGGCGTTTGATTGGGTTTGGGGTTTTCACTATGGATCTAGTTTATGATTTAAAGAACGATTGAAATTTGGAGTTGGAATGATAGGCGATCAAGGTCGCAAACGTCTCCCATGGGTTCATGCGATCCAGATCGTTGGTCATAAGGCCATGAGAAATTTCTGGTAACCCTGGTCTGATTGCATCCCTGCAACCACTAGAGCCAAAGAGATATCGATCATGTTGGGTGATATACATCATAGAAGCGTCACTTAAATACAGTCGAAATATTAAAGTGATATTAGGGTTAAGAGAAAAGAGAGAAGCAAGAAGAGAAACAGACGAAGAAAAATAATCAGTTGTGTAAGCTAGGTTGTTCTACGCTTTCTTATTTATAACTAAGTCATAGTTAGGTAATTATATTATTACCCCACACTAATTAACTTATGCCTAATAAAGACATAATAACTCTAACACACCCCCTTAAGTTGGAGCATATAGATAAAAATTATCCATTTCGAAACATAAAGTATTGAAGGCAATCCGAGCCAATAGCTTGCTAAGAATGTCACCCACCTAATCACCAAACTTGATATGTTTGGTATGCCCATAAAATACCGGATTACTTGCAATGAAAATAGCTGCTTGATTGTCACAATGTATCTCCATCGGGAAAGACACATCAAGTCCCAAAAGTTAAAAAGGGACCCCAACATCTCAAAAGCAGTATGTGTCATAGCATGATACTCAGCCTCTGCACAAGAACGGACAATCATGTTTTGTTTTTTACTACGTCAAGTAACAAGATTACCACCTACAAATGTAAAATAGCCAGAAATAGATCGCCTATCACCATAACTACCTGCCTAATCAGTGTCAGAATAACCAATAGTAATTATGGATGATATAATAATCTTTTTCCCGGTGCCCTCTTCAAATACAGAAGAATACGACAGATAACCTCTCAATGAGACTTACGAGGAGCATACATGAACTGAAGCTTACTAATCAACCTCTAATAACGTCCTATATCATCAAAAACTTCACCACTCTTAAGATCTAGCTTATTTGTAGGGTCCATAGGTATATCTATTGGACGTGCACCAAGAGTACTAGTTTTAGAAAACAATATTGGGTGTAACCGTGACACCATGTCATCATTGTCACGTGACGTCAACATCCAATAAAAATATAACAAATAAACAAGTGGATCTCACATATTATAGTAACTACTCTACCATGCCATTTAATAACCACCCAAGTGGAGTTCACCTTATACATATGTAGGTTTATTAATTGATAGTAACACCACGTGTTAATGATAATATAGTGTCACTGTGACACCCAATATTTAGTCCAGTTTTAGATGGTAAGTTTAATATATACATTGTTGACACAAACTGATACCCCTCTTTTGATAGGGATCCCAAGGAAGTACCGAAGTAGACCTTAATCTTTGGTATGAAACTACTTTTCCAAATAGGCTTTGAAATGAGCAATACCACCTACGTCATTACCACTTATAATGATGTCATCGGCATACACAATGACAATAATAATGCCAACAGAAGACCGACAAATAAAAACTAAATGATCTCAAGCAAAGCGTTGAAACCCAAACTGATGTACCATGATACTGAGTTTATCAAACCAAGAATATTGTGACTGTTTCAACCCACACAGTGGTTTCTTCAAACGACACACCAATTGTTCTTGACCTAAAACAACATAATCTGGTGGTTGAATTATATACACCTCCTCCTGCAGATCTCCGTGTAAAAGGGCATTCTTTATGTCCAGTTGATGCAATGGTCAATTAGAGCTAATCACAATGGAAAAAAGAATTATAACAGAGTTGAGACGAGCAATAGGGAGAAAGTTGCACAGTAATATACACCATATGTTTGGGTGTAGCCCTTAGTAACCAACATTGCCTTCAACCTCTCCACAAAACCATCGGGATGATATTTCACAGTAGATCCAGTGACAACTAACAGGCTGCTTACTAAATAGAAGAGAAGTAAAATCTCAAATATGATTGTCATGAAGTGCCTTAATTTCCTCATCCATAGTCAGTTTCAATCCAAGAAAAAACCCAATGCAAAGAGACAAAGTTAAAGATGGGATGTTGGGTACAAGGACGAGTACCTTTCCACAATGCAATAGGCAAATCATAATAAGGTGATACAATAGACGCCTCAGGAAGGACATCAATATAATCAGGTGTTGGCCGAGTAACTGAAGCATATGCAACATCCTGTCTGTTAATGGAACAGGATAAACCTGCAAATGAGGACCAAGAACTAGAGTCGGAGAAGAGGCACAATCGAGTACAATAGGCAATATGAACTCCCCCCGACTAATAGAGATTAAATCCGAGGAAAGAGTAGTTTCTCACATAGAGGAAAAAAAATGACTTAAAAAAATGTAACATCGGCACTAACATAGCATCGATGAGAGGCAGGTTCATAACAACAATAACATTTTTCAGTACAAAAGTATCCTAGAAAGACAAAATTAACCGCGTGAGATGAGAGTTTATCCCAACCCGGACCAACAAGGTAAACAAATGTAACACGGTTAAAGACCCAATGAATGAGGCTAAAGGGGGATGTATCAAGATAGAGCAACGAGAATGGAGACTTGTTACTTAAGATGGGGGAAGGCGTTCGATTAATAAGATAGACACCAGTAAGAACATCTGTCCAATAACTATTGTTCTACAATCCAAATAGTAAAGTTCATGTCACTCATGCCTCAAACCAATCACATTCTTCGTGCGGAGGTCTTGAAAAACACAAGAAGGTGGAGAGGACGTCACTGAACATAGTAAAGACTTGGTTAACTCACATAACAGGTTAAAAGGAAACTGATGAACAAATAAACCAGATATTAATGACATAGATTTAGTAGGATCTCTATGATAGAGTTATATAATAAAAGTTTTTTTTTTTGTATGAAACTCAGTTTATTATTTAATAAAATTTCTTCATTTTCTATTGAGAATTTGTATGGATAAAATGTTTGCATTATATTAAGTATATGGTATGTATGTGTGCATTGTATTACATTATAAATAATCTGGTGTGTAAAGTTTAACTTATACACAGAAAATCAAATTATCAAACCCCCGTATTATTGGAGTAAATGTTTACTGTCTTAGATGGAATTGGATACGTCATCAGTAGGGTTATAATGTAATATTATAGCATAGTCTGTATTGGTTATAAGAGACTGTCTGACATCTTGGATTGCTACACTAGTACACTTAATGTATTAAACAAGACCAGTATTGATGTTATTTTCTTTTTATTGACTAAATACAAAAATAAATATCTCATAATTATTATGATTACTTAACTTCTTAAACTTGAGATATTTAAGTGATACGTGCATATAATGATTATTACTTTAATTCATCAAATAGTAAGA